TTATTGGGATTTTTTTAATATATTTTTACATATTCTAAATAATAACATATGCTTTTAAAAATAATGCGAAACAGACACAAAAAATAACTGGCAAGGATATTGTTTTTGTCCGCATTTATACCTGCTACTAACATTTTACAGAACAGCTCTCGTATTCTGGACTTTCGCTAAGTTGTTTGGTAGTAATACTTCTAAAAATGAATCGAAATAAGACAATAATTAAACCGGTTTAAACATTGTATTATTTATAAATATACTTTATATATAAATACAATTATTATTAATATATAAATTGCCGATATTAAAATTAGTAAATAAGAAAAAATAAATTTAAACCATTAGGTACCAGCAGTAAAAAAAATATCACGTAATTTTTATTCGGGAAAGGCTACTAATTATGAAAGGTTAAAACTGTTTACAATTATTTATATTACATATGATGCAATCCTAATAGGCTACTTAACTATTTAGAGTCTGCCAAATCGATTGCAACACTTAATGGTTACTGATTTAGAAATATAAAATTCGAATTATTATTACACTGAAATTATATTTGTGTGTACCTAGGATCTATTAAAAAAAAATTAAACAAAAATACATCTATAGATATAGATCTATCTAAATTAGGGTGTGATTCATTGATCCCTAAAGACTAATACGCCTATATCATATACTGTCACGTTATTGTTTACATGCAATACCTTCCTTATTTAAAAAAATACATTAAAAACTGTGTTGATTCTCATTGCAATATCCTTCTAATGAAGTTTTCACTTTTACGACCCTTATAAAATCTCACCTAACTTTTTTTTTCAATTGCACTCCTTGAAAATTAATACTGTAACGATTGTTTAATTTTAAAATATTTAAAACAGTTTATGATTTATTTATACTAAGTACTAGTTAATTAATTTCATACTTAAGCACTATTTATATTTTTAATTTATTTAACACAGTTACTTATACTAATTTATATCACATTTACTTTATCGATGTTCTCACTGCTATGACTCGACTTTGACTGTACAACACAGCCTATTTATTTATAAATTGTTGTATGCGCTAGATTATTTTCGTTTTCACCATTTATTAGACATGCGTCTCCGACAATTTCTCGAATTTGCTTCTATAAAGAGTTCTAGTACATTCCCGAATGAATGATTCATACCGGCTATCTGTTTCCATAGACTTCTCTATAGTTGGGTAAAGAGGGTTTATCCCCTTCATCAAATGTTCCTGGTTTTAAGCACAAGTGGGGTCGTAAAAAGGCTCAAACAAGACAGAGGGACCTAAAGGATCAGATCATGACCAGATTAGTAGGAAATGGCTCACATTACAATAATTTGTTATTCTAAATACTTTATTCTGTATACTGCGACGTATCATACAACATTTATTTGACAAATAATCATTGAATTTGTTCTATAGGTTAGGGTAGCTTTACCCCTGAATTGCATCAATAATATAAAGTGTTGACAAGCGACTCCCAAAATGGATGCAAAGTTAGGTTGACAATTATTTATAATTTTTGATCTTTAGAATTTTATTAATATTGTAGCAATATTTATTTAATTTATTCCAATTCTGATATTAACATTCTTCAGTGGTAAAAATAATTGATTATTAAAAATTAATAATTGCTTCTACAATTTTTATGGTGTAGAAATAGGTCTTATTCAACTATGTACAAAATACTTCCATTTTTCCCTGTCTCTCGTCATCCTTTTTGCTTCTATCCAGCCTTTGTTCTTGTGAAATATTTGTACTATTTCATTATCCCATGTTCGTCCAGGCCTTCCTCGTCTTCCATTTTTCTTTATTCTTTCTTCTCATATTATTCTTATTGGTTTCGATTTGTCGACCCTCATTAAATATCCCCACCATTCCAACTGTCTTTGTTCAATACTAGACTCGACTGTCAGGGAGTGATCCTTAAAAATATTGTTACCCTGCGCCTGTTATAAGAAACGTGCGAATATAAAAAAATTGCAATGTCACCCATTGCCTTACAGTGTTCAGCGGTCGCCATAAATAAAAATACGAGTAAAAGAAGAAGATAGAATAGTCCAGAAATGTCTGGAAATGTCATTCCTCGTCAAGAAAAATGTGGACAGTTCGAGAAGCTATATAAGTCGATGTTCCTGACGTCAGTTTTCAGTTTTATGATAGACGTTATATGTTAATGTTATCAGTTGTATAGTTATTGTAAAAGTTGAGTTAAAATAAATTGAGATACCAAAAACCTGCTTTACATTGGTGACAGCGGTGGGATCCAAAATAGAAGTTCATTGTAAATACTAGATCCACTGTGTAGGAAACAGGTATGGACACTTCAGGTCCCCCAGCATGGTTTTTGAAGATGAAAGAGGAAAGAGAAAGGCGTAGGAAGGAAGAAGAGGAGGAAAAGGAAAGGTGAGAAGAGGAGAATGAAAGGCGCAAGAAGGAAGAAGAAGAGGAAAAGGAAAGGCCTAGGAAGGAAGAAGTGGAGGAAAAGGAAAGACGTAGGAAGGAAGAAGAGGAAAAGGAAAAGCGCAGGAAGAAAGAAGGCGAGGAAAGGAAAAGGCGCCGAAAGGACGAGGAAAAAGAGAAGGAGGAGAGGCGTAGGAAAGCAGAGGTAGAAATGATGAATGGTTAGCTACGAATTCAAGAAAATTTCAAGCTAGAGGTAGGTCAGCCCAACAACAAGAGAACTTAAAAACTAATTTAGAAAATTTACAAACTAATTTATCAAGAGAATCTAAAAACTAATTTAGAGCAAAAACAAGAGAATTTAAAAGCTAATTTGGAACAACTAAGTTATTTAAAAGCTAATTCAGAGCAACGACAAGAAAAGTCTAGAGCAGAGTTGAAAAGACAAATTAGAACTGAAATAATGGAGTTGGAGAGAAGAATTCTTAGCCAAGCTTCGGTAAGCAACGTTGAAGCTGAGAACCCTCTCTCGTCTTTATAACCGAACCAAGTCACGTTCGAACCCCAGTTTTACAAAACCATAATAGCATAAGGTTTTTTTGTCATCCACGTTTGACGGTCAGACAACATGGGAAACGTATCGACTCCAATTTGAGGCTGCAGCTAGAGCTAATGGCTGGGCTGAGAGAGAGATGGCGTCTTCATTGACAGTGTCCCTGTTTAGAAAGTCAATGCCGGTACTGTAAAAGGCTTGAAGAACGAGAGGAGCTGGTTGAAGAAGTTAGTCTTCAGGCGACCACTATCAAGCCAGAGGATGACGAAGACAGAATCTCCCTTGAAAGCCTAAGAAAGACTCAAAAGAAAGACAATGACTTGAAGGTTGTCCGAGAATGGCCCAAAAATGGAGTCAGACCTACATGGCAAGAATTAGCCAAATATAGTGGAACCATTAAAGGGTACTGGACTCAGTGGGATTCCCTGTATCTTCACGATGGCTTATTGCATCGGAAGTGGGAGAGCCCCGATAGAGTACTTGTAGTCCGCCAAGTGATACTTCCGAAATCACAGGTCAGAAGTGTGTTGGATGAGCTTCATAGCAGCCGTTCAGGAGGACACTTTGGTACTAAAAGGACACTTGCACGTTCGGGAAAGATTTTATTGGGTCAATTGTTGACGGGATGTAGAAAATGTGACTTTTGTAATGGTAGAAAAGGGCCCAAAACAAGAAGTCGAGGTAAAATAGCATATTACCTTTCCGGAGAGCCTTTCGAATAAATCGCTATAGATATCCTCGGACCACTTCCCTTAACAAAAAGGAGAAACAAATACTTGATGGTTGTTATGGACTATTTTTCAAAGTGGCCCGAAATAGTGCCTATTCCTAATCAGGAAGCGACGACAGTAGAGAGTCCTCCTGGAATTGCATTCTGACCAAGGACGAAATTTTGAATCCGAATTATGACAGGAATTGATGAAACTGTTAGGCATCAGGAAAACAAGTACTACGCCTTTTAACCCACGGTTCGATGGAATGGTAGAAAGACAATAGAACGATATGCCAGTATCTTTCAATGTTCGTCTTTGATAATCAAAAGGACTGGGACACTTCTTTTGTTCGTCCCATTGGTGTAGGAATGAACTACACCAACGGACACTAAACCTTTCGTTTGGCCAGGTGTAAAACCCACTATACATTCCTGTCGGCGATGTGGTGTCCACTGGTGTATATTTTCTCCACCAGCTATTTAGCAGGAGTGAATTACACTCGACATGTGTATAAGGAATAAGGAGGAAGTAAATTAGGGTAAATAAGGTGGTGTAACTTGTGTAATTTACACTGGTGGACACTGCACCAACAGCGAATGAAAGAAACTCTTAATTCCTCTATTTCTGCTAGCCTACCGAAGTTATGAACATGAAACGACCAGTTATACTTCATCCTTGATGATTACTGGAAGGAAGATGAAACTTCCCCATGATCTTCTTTTTGGATGGCAGCATCCTTTTAAAGAAGAGGGCCGTACACCTCCCACCTACGGGTGGCACAAAATTGATCGAAAAACATTTGATCGAATTGGAAATTTGATCGAAAATACCTTTTTTCGAATGGTATTTGATCGAAGATATATTTTATCGAATAACATTTTATCAAAAAGACAATAGGTCGAAAATTCATTAGATCGAAAGGGCAATATATCGAAAATCAACATTAAAAAGAGTAAAATCTCAAAATCAAACGATACCATGCAACCATCCGTCTAATCCCTACTACCAAAGAAACTAAACTCAGCGGCTATCAAAATTATGTACTAATGGCAAATTTTTCGATAATCTCAAACGACAGCTACATCGTTTAACAAATTTTTATCCTTACAATACTGTTAATATAAAAAATAATGTTTTAGAGCTAAACGGTTATTTATATTCATTGAGATTAAAGAACTGTGATTAATTCGCACAAAATATGTATTTCAATAAGGTCGAGTTGTCTCCCAATGGGACATTCTTTCGCATCGCATTCAGTCGTCAACGCTTTTTCGAGATCTAACCACCTTATTTTTGTAATGTATAAAATAACAAGAGTTTTTTTAGGAATTTTTATTTTCATAATTATTTTAGCCAAAATTTTACTAACACTATAACACAGTAAAAAAGTTTTAAAATAGTTCTTAATTTAATAAATTATAATATCACAAAAACAACTTTTCTTATTTACGTAAATATAACAATATAAATAAATAAGTTGTATCACATTTTTTAGTCAATCATGAACGATTTTCACAGTTTTTAAGTCACAGAAAATTACACTAGCTCTATGTTTGGGATAAAGTCGTAGAATTATCCGTTATCCTCTGAATGACATTATTTTCTATTTTATCATCATGAGTTGACATTTCCGTTCCAGTTGTCAGCTCTTCCCGTTGGCAATTGACATTCCAAATACCATTGACAGAATTTCTCTTGCTCGGCACATGATTTGTTACAAAATGCGCATTCCTATCTGGATGCCGACATTTCATCAAATTCAGAAATGCCTTTCGGAAAGTTTTGTTTTTCCAAGCGTATATTAACGGATTCATACAGGAATTAGCCATCGCCAAGTTAAAGAAAATCTCATACAGCGTTGCGGTTTGATCGTTTTTCGTCGTCCTTATGTAAATGACAATCACGAAGTACGGCAGCCAGCAAATTGTGAAACAACCTAGGATTACCAGCGTCATCTAAAAAGAAAACATACTTTAGTTATGACAAAATTTTTCTTTTTTTTTTTCTGTCTTACAACTAGGTACTGAACTGTAATAAAACTAGATTGGGCTTAGCTGAATAAAATTAGATTCAAACAATTTGTATACAGGTACGGAAATCTAAACGCGGACTCTATTTTACAATGAATTCGACAGGGTATAATAGGACCACGCGTGAAACAAAGATCGCTAAGCAGCATATTACCTATTTTGTGGTCTGGCGCACAGCAAGTTCGACTTTCATCTCATTCCACGTACGCTCGTCCTAAATAGATTTGACTTATATGGTCCGCGTTTAAATTTCCGAACCTGAATAATACAAAAGTGAAGTAACAAGTAGTAAAAATTATTTCTGAAAATATGGCCTTGTTTTTAAGTCATTTATAGTTAATAAATAATTATACTTAAATGTTTTATAAGACTTGTTTGCATTGATAAAAATTCATAGAATATACGCATATAGTATTGAAATAACTTATTAATACTCAAAAAAAAAAAAAATAATTTTGAGTTCTACAAAATTCTTAATATGAATGATAAATTATGATTAATAAATTATTTTAAAAATTTGTTTCTAATACCTATTTATGTAACCTGCAAAAGTTAAACAAAACGGCATTTTGTAACGTGTAGAGTATTTTTTTCTAATTTTGACTAGATTACTTATAAAACTGTGTTTAGTAAAAAATTACTAACTCCATGCAACCAATATTACTTTGTTAATTGCATAGCTTCATTCATTTCATTGGCATATTTAAACAGATAGAAAATCATATAATTTATTCTCATCCACATGTTTTAGGGTGTCTATCTTGCTCGTTAAAGTTATTTAGTTTTTAAGAAAGTGGGTTATTTTGTCGTGTATTGTGTTTTGATTATTTTGTGCAGGATTTAGAATGGAAAATAAGGACGAAAAACTGTATTAATACTAGTTTGTAAGTTCACTAACAAAATCTATTTTTATATAGCCAACCTTCCTTCCTTCAATATAAACTTTAGTAACAATTTTCCAAAGTATTTTCCTCCACAGTCAATGCATTTTTGCATCCGCGAAAAGCTTCCTTGAAAAAATTTTCTCCATTCTTTTGGCCGTAGTTTGTTTATTTCATTTTTAAAGGCATCAACCGCTTCTTCGGCCGATGTAAAACGTAAACCCCGTAAGTTTTACTTTATCCGCGGAAATAAGAAGTCATTAGGTGCTAGGTCTGGTTCATACGGCGAATAGCCGCATTCATTTGTTCGTGCAACAGTGTGTTCCCAAGCGTTTACCTTAAGGTGATTACAGCACCCCTCATATTTTCGGACAAGGATAATTCAGTCATTTTTTTAAAAAATTAAAATTTTGGCAAAATAAATCAGGCAATAATTCTAGAACATGCATATATTTTAAAGTTTTAATTCCTTCCAGTTTCCAAGAAAAAAAATCAAAGGGCTTTAAATTTTGAAATATCAGAATGAAAATAAATGCATTTCTCAACAGCACTATTTTTAATATAATCCCCAAATTTAAGCTCTTAAGGTCTTGATATTGATTTTTAAAATTCGCCAAAATTAGTAGTTAAAACGCCTCGTTAAGTACTATTTTCTGGTGTATACTGGTGTAAATCGTTGCAAGAAACGAATGATGACTGAGAGTGTACGATACGATAGTTACATACGCGTTACACCAGAAAGCAGCACTTAACGAGGCATTTAAGCCACTAATTACGGCGAATTTTAAAAAATCATTAACAAGAGCTCAAATTTCGGGATTATATTCAGAAAAGCGCTGCGGGAAATGCATTTATTTTTATTATGATATTTCAAAATTTAGAGCTCTTTGATTTTTTTTCTCGGAAACTTAAAGGATTTTAAACATTAAAATATACACATATCTAGATAATGTTACCTAATTTATTTTGCCAAAATTTAAATTTGTTAAAATTACTTTTTGAAATATCCTTATCCGAAAATTGTAAGGGGTGCTGTATTCACCTTAATGCAAAATGATCCTTTCTCTTGAAAGTTTTTCGCTAACCTTTTGGAGAATCTGAGGCAACCAAACTAGTGTACCATTCTAAATTAACAGTATGTCTTTTCTCCAGTGCTACAATGGAAACATTCCCAGTAAGTCCAAAAAAGTGGCGACCATCTTTTTGTTTCGGCTTTTTTTCGCGGACAACTTTTGTTGGTGCCGGCTCATTCTCAACGGCCCAAACTGACGAGTGTTGCTTTTTTTTTCCGGGATAATACAGTATACTTATGTTTCATACCCATGATATTGGACACCAAATTAGACGATCCACGGTCAAAGCGATCCAGTTTAGAACTGCGCCATCTTGCTAAAGTTGCAGCAAATCTTATAGACTTTCAAATGTTTGTATAAAATAGTGTTAATTGCTTTCACACTATTCTTTAAAGTTGCTTGAATGTTTCTGACTCTAATGTGCCGGTCCTCTTTAATTATGTTCCGAATAAGATCAATATTTTATTTCTGTAACTGTCTTTTGGCTTACGAGCTCGAAAACTACCATTTAAGGAAAGTCGACCACGTTGAAATTCATTGTACCACGGCCTTACGGTAGTGAAGGAACAGCGACTTGTCACCAAGCACTCGATTGATTTCCTCAGAATATTCTTTACGTTTTAAGCTACGCTTGTAATTGTAAAAAATCGCAGTCCGATAGTGCTCCTTATTCATTTACATCGCTAATTGGCGAAAGGATTACTTCAAACTTATGTAACTTAAATCAGGTATATTTGACAGCTGTCAGTAACTAAACTTGTAAACAACGAGATTGAAATGTCAGACAAAATTTGTTGCAAAAATGTCATCGCCTACTAAATAGGCTCAGCGAAAAGAGAGCAGCCCTCGTATTTTAAATATATTTACTTTTATTTGGTTTCTCTTTGTAATTGGTGCCATAATGGATTTTATTTACTTAATTAAAATTATACTTTTAGTCTCTATTTTAAGGGACTAAAATGGGACTTTTACAATCTAGGAATTAAAAATTTACTTTTAATCCCTATGTATTAAAAGTACAATATACTTAATGGCACTTTTACTCCCTAGGGATTAAAAGTATACCATACAACCGAAATTACAGTAAAAAATACAATATACGTAAAAACTATAACAACCTTGCACTGACATCGTCATTGTTTTGTTATTATACTGTAAGTGGTTTTTCATAATTTTCATAATTTTTTTTGTTCTTCTTTTCCTAAATTGCATAAAATAGCGTAAAAAGCACGGGACTGAAGTGTTATTTCTCGACGAATTATATCCTCCCTGGTTACATAAAATAGATCATTTTGACACTTGCTGCGATTACAAAAATATGTCACTTCAAAATTAAAAAAAAAGTGCATATATTAGAATTAGATACTTAACGAACATTATTTTCTTTTAAGTAAAATATACGACAAACTTATGTCAGCAGACCTTTCGTTATCTGATTTTAAAAATCTGATGTGTCCAACACATGACTTTCGTGTCTTGTTATTACATACTTTTTTCGGTTATTTTCTACAACCTATTGTATCACGCCTGTAAATGTTTGGAGGTTAAACTAAATACATACATTTTCCACACACATCTTACTCGAAACTTTTTTTTATATAATATTCATTGCAAACGAAAATACTGAAAAATTAAAATTTTACACTTTTCCTCAAATTTTTCCATTGCAGTCCCTTTTAGAGAAATCATGTATAGAACAAAAATTATAGAAAATGATATCGCATATCGCCCTCAGATGCTTCGACTATGCCCAAAATTTAATCGGCTCACCGTAGGATGTTATGTTGGGAATGGGTGTTAATACACTGTTTCCTAAAAGATCTATTGTGCCCCCTTCTGTCGCTAATACAGCAAGGGAATGTCTCAATGCCTATAACGAACCTTCCAATCCTATATTCTCAAGGAAGTGTAAGATTTGGAGTGGCCACAAATTAGGCAAATCTTCCTCTTCTATTTGATATGCTCCTAGGTATAGTGCCCTTGGATTCTGGAGTGACACACAACCAGTTAGAATATGAATGGAGGTTTCGTCCTCCTCACAGAATCTGCACTCACTATCGTCTACTACTCTCAGTTTACTAACGTGTCCTTTTAGTCGGCAATGCCCAGTAAGGATCCCTGTTTTAATACGTAGCCTGTTTTTGCTCAGGCAGATGCAGCCTTCCGATCTTTTCTGGTTATATTCACCCAGTAGTATCTTAGTCTGTCTCAGCCCCCAAGAGATTATTTCAATTATCGGTTCTTCAACTGTCCAATTCTTTTTTAATCTCTCCTAATATTATGTTACTGCTGATACCGCAGAACGGATCAGTTCTCACAGAGGGTGTTTGAGTCCCTTTCCTTTCGAGACTATCTGCAATCTCGTTACCCTGTACCCCGTTATATCCCGGGACCCAAGTGAGAGTAACTCTATTTTTCTCGCCTAGCTCATTCAATTGGCATCATTGAATAGGCATCTCCAGACCATTGTTGAGCTGATTATGTAAGGGCGCTTTGATGGCTGCTTGGCTGTCGGACATGATGACTCGTCTACGATAGTTCCTCTCGATGTTAAACTGGATACACTTCTCGTTGGCGTGAATTTCCGCCTGGAAGATGCTTGGGTATTTTCCCAAGCTTTCGGGGTCCTTGGTTATCGGCCCATACAGTCCTATTCCAGTTCCTTCTATGGTTTTGGAACCATCCGTATACCAATGAATAGCATGTCTTTCTGTTGCAAGCGCGATGGATTCTTGGCTCCATTCTATCTTGCAGCCCAGCTCTGTGGTTTTGAAGTTTTTCACAAAACTACTTTTTTATCATTTCATCCTGAGGCATATCCCAGGTATCTTTGGTCCTGAAGCAAGTAGACTTTCGTCTGATTACGTATCCTTTTTGCCACATTCTCTATCATTAAATGTAGAGGGGTGAGGTTTAAGATCACCTCCATTGCGGCCGTAGGGCAGGTTCTCATTGCACCGGTGATGCAAACACAGGCTAGTCTTTGTACTTTTGAGATATTAGCTATCGTAGTAGCTAAACTAGTTCTGTTACTCCAGGCTATAGCCCCGTAAGTGATGATTGGTCTCACTATTGCAGAATACATCCATAGCAATCACCGCAGGATGAATTAAAGCTTAAATTTAAAATTTCTCTTTATTTGTTTTCGAGTTATCTTCAGAATTCGAAATTTGCACTTTTTCTCAAATATCTCGAATACGGACCATTTTAGGAAAATTATGTATGGAACAAAAATTATAGAAAATAACATTACAAGCAACTTTTATTTGAAGAATGTTCTTCTCCAAACGTAGATACAGATTTATTAAAGTAGAAAAACGCATACACCTACACGCGCGCGCGCACACACACACACACACACACACACACACACACACGCGCGCGCGCACGCACGCACCCATACCCGCGCACGCACCCAAACGCGCGCACACACCCACGCACGCACGCACACACCCACGCACGCACACGCAAGCGCGCACACGCAAGCGCGCACACACACACCACACGACATCATCGCGAAAATAGTCAAAACGAATTCAGGGGACCCCAAAACGTAAAACTTTGTCGAAAACTCGTGGTAGAAAAAAATCATGATTCGTATACGTTCCATTAATTACGTGAGGTATTTTTGACCCCCCCCCCCCCCTCCCCCTTGGTGAGATTTCGTAAAATTTTCTTCAACTCACGTGAGATTTTTCAAAATTTGTGTTTTGGGTGTAAATGGATTATTAAAAAAAAACAAAAAATATGTTCTATTACTTTTATTTAAGACTAGTATTTGGAAATATTAGCGTAATATAAAATTTCTAGAAACATTCTTTACTTTAATTTAACTTTACTTTCACACAATTTTACACCGTTTTCTTCTAGAAAAAAATTACGTCAGATTTACAAAGACCCCCCCTCTCCCCCAAGTGAGATTTGGAAAGATTTAGCTTGATCCCCTCCCCCCCTTGAACGCCCCACGTAATTAATGAACGTCCTCTTAGCTGTATACAGACGAGAAAGTAAAAATAATTACATTAACAAATGCTAGCTGTTTATCTATTGTCTTCTCCACTCTCAAGTTTTGGTAGAAACTCGTATGTCTTAAACGAGTCTTTAACATAATAGAATGTGAAAACAAGACAAAGTTTTCCACAGAAACTAGGTAGTTAACGGCCAAGAATTAAGAATTCAAATTATTTGTGATAGATATTAGAAATCCATTATTACCAAATACGTTTTCAATTACATATTTTCATTAGTTTTCCTACGGAATTTTATCAATAATCGAATTAAAATCAACATTGTTTCAGTCTCCTTACATTTGTTAAGTTGGACAAGTTTCATTTTTAGTTATAATCATCTGCCATAAGTTGTCACAAATCTTCAAATGAACTTTCGGTATTATAATTATTTTCACTTGTGCAATCAGTGTATTCTTACAGATCTATCTGTACCTACGTATAGTTCGCTTTTCAGTGGTCAATTGACATTTCTATAATAAATTTTGAATCTTTTGATTGCCATACTCTTTTGAAACATTAAATCCGAGACATATATTTTTGGTAATTAAAAAAAATGTCTTAGAAATACATAACTTTTATAATGTTAAATCTACATAATCAATTAAGGTATCTTGTAACAAATTACAACATTATTAAAAATTTAAATTTTGAAATTTTTGTTTCAACGCCCTACAAATATGTTATAATAGTCTTCGTCTTGACTCACACTGAAACATTTAACTAAAAATAAACATTTTGATCTCAAAGTTATATTTATGAGTTTTAATAATCTTAATTTTAGGAGAACGTCTGTAAATGCATGTGTATAAAAAAGCATTTATATTCACAGCATACTCGGTACTTGGGTTGCATACGATTTCCTGGCGCCATGCTAAAGATATAAAAATATTTTACTTAAATAAGGGCCAAAGACAATATATTGGCTTTGTTTACGAGCAAAACCAGACCTCTCGCGAAAGCAAAAATGTTTTAAGGATTTTCTGATATAAAATTGAATTTATAAACGCGCCACTAGAATACTTCGCGATATTATGTTTCTCGATAATATACAGTATGGTTCAAATGAAAGGAATAAATTCATTATAATGGAAGTAGCTGGTTTTTCGAAAAACTGCTCGGACAGGTCAATTTTGTTTACTAAAAGCGCAATTTTTTAAATAGCATTCAATTTTCCCCCACTTCCCATTTTTGGGCAGTGACGTTATTGACAATTTTTTTAAATGGTAACCTCAATTTTTTTTCTTGATTTTGATAGATCTTGCAATTTCCTACTCGGAAACATAATATTTGAAATACCTTACATAACAATTTTTTTTGAATAGAAGACATTTCAAGATCAGACACATAAATTTTATTTTATTTTGAGAACATAATAAATGAATAAAAGATAATTATTTGTAATTAAATGCTTAATCTAACAAAATAATAATAAAAATAATAATAATAATAATAATAAAAAGAATTTGTGAAATTGTCATTAAATTCTTTTTATTATTATTATTTTTTTTTTTAGATTAAGCACTTAATTACAAATAATTATCTTTTATTAATTTATTGTGTTTCAAAATAACATAAAATTTATGTATCTGATCTTTAAATGACTTTTTTTTCAAAAAAAATTGTTATGTCAGATATTTCAAATATTATGTTTTCGAGTAGGAAATTGCAAGATCTATCAAAATCAAGAAAAAAAAATTGGGGTTGCTATTTAAAAAAATTGCCAATGACGTCACTGCCCAAAAATGGGAAGTGGGGGAAAATTGAATTTTTTTTAATAAATTGCGCTTTAAGTAAACAAAATTAACCTGTCCGAGCATTTTTTCGAAAAACCAACTACTTCCATTATAATGAATTTATTCCTTTCATTTGAACCATACTGTAGAGTACTATTAAGTATTTCGGTAAATTTGTGCTCCTATAAGGCAGCAGGAAAGGTGGGAAATCCTCCCATTTAAAAAATACTAGATATTTATTAAAATAAAAAGCAATAAATGTTCTATATCCATCTCTATCTCTACCGTGGGCTGGATTAAATAAAATATGTATGTTAGGGAACTATTGTTTTAAATAAATTATTTTATTTTTGAGAATCAGTTTAAATTAATCACGCCAGTGAAATGTTTATACCTATAGTTATCAACATGTAATTTTTCATTAAGAAATAAAAATCGTTAAGTATCCCCAAAAAATCCTTTGAATATGTTTCCTCTAATTTTATCAACTGAAAAGTTGTAAACAGTAGTAAATTTATATTGATCATTAATTAAAATTGTACTTCCCACTCAATCACTCCAATGAAATATACCTAAATGCAAATATTTTGTAATAGAATATTTGTTATTCGGCATTTTCAGTATTTTTAGTCTGTACGGAAATATCAACTTTGATTTTTGAAATATTATGTATATTGAACGAAATTTATTTGATTTTTGCGTTCACTTTTATTTTTTTCTTTAATGCATCGTTGAAAGTTTAAACCGTTCTTGACTCACTCCAAATTGGAATCTATTGACTTTTTTTATATAATGATTACCAACGTTTTAATTCTAAAAAGCTAAAATCTACAAAACAAATTAATTAAAGGCCAGTTAATGTCTTTAATTTACGTAGTCTTTAAAATGTAATAATTTGACTTTTTTATATTAGCCAGAGGCCGATAAGCTGGTTTATATACATATCAAAATTATGGCCAATAAAAAATTCATCTTAACTTTAATTGTTTAAATATTGAGTTCCTAAAAGGTCAAGTGGTATTTTGTTTGCTTTAAGTTGAACCATTAAGAGTCTGCTAGACAATAAAGTGTCGTAGCAATTAATTTGGAATATTTGATATGTAGCATACTTATATCTCTAAAACAAATATAACTTTAGGAATTTTTAATAAAGTTTTTGCAGAAATTAAAAAATATCTTATTGAACATAAAGACTAAATATAAATATGCCCCTAGAAATTTTAGTTCGTTTTTAAAAATACAAATGTATCACTTTTCAATATACTTATTAAGTTTGTTTGTCCAGAATTTTAAATTTCTGACGAATTAAAGCTTGGACATGTCCAACTGTTTTACTATACAGTGTGTCCACGAATGGTGTTCACAAGAGGAGAAAAATCATTAATAAATTAATAAGACATGAACATATTTCAAGTACAATTATTTATTATTTAAAGTAAAACGTTTATAAAAGGAAGTAATTTGTAATTGAAAATAAAGAACAATTCTAGTATATTTGTGCGATTATTTGCAGTATTTAACAAAAAAAAATCAAGGTAGCCGATTTAAGAAAACGTATTTTCATTTGAAAATTTGTATTCAGGCTTTATTTTGAATTACAAACAACTTTCAATTTGTAAACATTTGCTATAAAACATTTTCATGTTTCAATAATTTGACATCTAATCTAAAATTTTTATTTGATATTCTTATTTTATCAACAAGCAGAATTTTTATATAGAATGACTTTTCGACGTAAAATGAAAATATCGATTTTTCTCCTCTGGTGAATTCCATCCATGGACACACTATATTTTCAGGTGCACATTAAATCAGATAAGTTTCTTGATTTTGAAAGTAATTATAATCTCTAACCGATTTCAATATGACCAGCAAAATATTAATTAGTATATCAACTAAATTAATATTTTTGTAGCCAGTTTTGCATTTCAATGTTTTGTACTTGCCTGAAATGATTTTGATTGATGTAAATTCCCAGACACCATAATCTTCTTATGTTGTCCAGATGCCTCGTGACATATTCTGGTATAAAGAAGAAGCATCGTTGTCCAGACTAATGAAAACATTGGCAGTAGTATATATTGCATGTAATTTTGAGGAAAAACGTTAACGATTTCGCAAGTTACCCCTTCGGTCCATTCGTTCCACACTAGCGGTACAAACGCAGTAGTGAAAGCCACAACCCATCCAATTGTAATGAGGGTAAATGCAAATTTTTGTACCATAAACCTGGTGTAGTGCAAAGGATATACTATAGCCAAGTACCTATCCATGGCAATAAATAATAGGTTGCATATCGAACTAGAACTTGCAAATGAAGTTAGGACGAATCTGAGAAGACAGGTGTATTTTATGTTTCCAAAACCGTCGATAGTATAAAAGAGCATGTGGTATGGTAATGTTATTCCGACCATAAGATCACTCACTGCAAGACTAAAAACAAAATAGTTCGCCATCATAGAGGACAGCTTTTTGCTCATCAAAATGGCAGAAAGAGTTAATACATTTCCTATTATTGTTCCAACAGCTGAAGCGATGCTAGTAAACATCCACAAGGTAGTTCCACAATAATGACACTGAGTTCCCATCTTTAACAAACACTTACTGCACTATTTCTTCGTTTCTTGCTATAAAACAGCATTTGACCGTCCGGTTTTTATGTTTTGAATGGTTTTTGGCGCTATTGCGGAGTGAAGGTAACCGCGATACGTTTGAAATGAGCGCGATGCTTTCTAGGAATGAATGGATGCCATTCGTTGAGGTTGCACATTTCACACTTTAGGGAAATTTAACGCGCGGTGTATTCTGCTTCGTTTATCGCGTTACATATATATGTATTTTATTCCGGCTCGGAACATATTTATAAGATATCAATCGAAGTGGTGGTATATATATTTTTTTATAGAATCGTCGGTTTGTAAATATTTCTCGCTGCTCGGCAAATACATTCAAGGGTGAATAGGTATAACTTTTTTTTTTTAATTTACTTTCTGTTAAGTCAAATGTATATGCGTTAATCACAGGCATGAGATATGAGACACTTGGATTATTCGACCATCATCAATGGTTCTATCGTATGTAATTCCTTAATAACCACTCGGTGTACAAATTAAAAATTTGGCATATAAATTTTTCTCGATATAGAGTAATTTTGCCATTTGTCGGCAATTTAAGAGTTCATCCCAAATTTGAAAACCATTATGTGATTAATATATACATGCATGTAGTACCTACTGTCACACTACATACTACTTTTCAGTTTAAATTTGTCATCCTTCCGGAAAGCTATAACCTTCCATTCTGTGGCAGTTGGCGGGAGATAAATATTTAGCTCACTTCGCCTTATCTCCTGGCAACTTTATTTTGTTGATCCCAATTAAATAAATAATTGGAAAGGTAAAATTATAAAATATATAATTATAAAGAAGGGAAAGGAATGACAAGTTATTTCTATAAATATATAAAAGTCGCAATGATGATAAAATAAACAGATTCTTGTCAATGGACTTCGCCAAGGATTTGACAGTAGGCACTACAGTGCATTAATTACTAAGAAATAAAAAATAGAAATAGAAAAATTTGCTAGAATTATATTTCAAAATATAGAAAAAGCGGATGTTAAAAAAATTATAATAATTTACTACACTTTTACTGGTTCTCGGTCCAAAATGTCTGTTTTCTTTACTCCAGTTCACTCATCCAGCTGTATACCACTAACTACCAATGTTACTTGTCAATAAGGTCCATATTTGAACATTTATAATCAACAACAAAAATCAATTTATTAAAAATTGCAAAAAAACAAACAATAAAAAAATATATAAAAAAAACAAGAGGAACTTTGTTCTGAGGTACAGGTAGGTAACGAATATAAAATTTTACATGGTTGATCCGTCATCACATATACTTCGCAAAAACAATCTTTATTTATTGCGTCGAAATAAGGCAGTCCTGCAATTTTAAATACCCTGTATAATAAAAAATAAGGAAATTAAGGTACAAAAAGATTATTTCGTATTAACAAATATTAGTTTAACAGGAATATTTAATAATTATAAACGTAACATTTATACATTTAGCCTAGAAAATTATCAAAATAGCAGTTTGTGCAACAAGAGTGGATATGATGACCATATCGCACAAAGACAAAGTTTGAGGCGGATTGCTCAATCGTCTGGATTGGACAATCCATTCGAGTTGTACAGTATATTTTTTCTACAACCCTCTAACAAAAAATGCAGTCTCAGCTCCATCGGCACACCCAACATTTTAGTTGTACTTGTAAAGAAATTGCTTTCATATAGTTTTATTAAAATTTATAATTTATTTGTAAATAGAGATGAAATAAAAATAGAAATGCTATTATTTATCGATTCTACACAAAAAAGTCATTTTAATGTATATTTAAGTTCAATAACTAAAAAAATAATAGTAGCCGGGTGACCAAAATATGAACTGTGATTGGTGGATTTCATATTTGTGCAGTGTTCTTACTAGGTAAAATGGATGTGATATAATGTTCGTTTAGTTGAACGCAATGGCATACTTTTCCGTTTTGTAGTCTGTGTGTAGAATAGCTAATATCCATGTGGGTGTAGAAAAAAATTATTTATTAATATTATTTCGTAATCAAGCTGTATGAAACAAGTAAAACCTAACTATCAAAACAACCTAATTTAACCAAATAATTGTTCAAAATTCCAAACATTCTGTTGAATACAATATTGTTGGCATCTCAACAATTTCTTGGATTGCCGCTCACTGTAATAAAACATCAGATTGTCTGCTATTAAAATATGGTATGTTAAAATTTATCATAATGTAGTAAATCATGACATTCGAAGCTTATGTATTAATTTGTAAAGACAAGTAAGCTAAAACCCTTCTATATTATAAACTTTTAAAATTGTAATTTTCTAATAAATAGTAAAACTTAATTAATACCTCTTTCGGGATAAACACCATTAATTTTGAATTCCAAAAACTTAATAAATTTTCTGTGAATAAGTTCAATTTTATAAATATGGGAATTATAATAAGAAAAATATAAAATCTTTGTTGGGAAAGTTTTCATTTAGAAACTCTTACAGTTATTCTACAATGTGGTTGGAACCATACGCCCCAATATTTAATTTTTTCAGCGATCCTAGAACATGATTTTTAATAAAATCTAAATATGCTTCGCCTGTTCGTCTATTAAAAAGAAGATGCGGCCCAATCAGTTTTTTGGTTAACAAATTACACTTGCTAGTGGCTCTGTCTAGTCTAGAGTATATGGATTGTCCTTTTGAACAATTATTAGGTTAGTTTGGGGAGTTTTACTAGTTAGCTTTTATTCAGCTTAATTACGAAATAAAATTAATTTTCAATTTGTTTTAAAAGGTTATCAGGTTACTGTATTATGTTTCTAATTAAATCTTACTTTTTTTAATTCGGTATCATCGGCATCAACTACTAAGGTTATTAGCCTCGTGTTCGGTGTAGGTATTACTGTTTCCCAGCGCCACTTTAGGAACAGCACTGTTAATTAAAACCCAACAGTGAATGGCCGGGTGGGAAATCCTGCCTTTGCAATAATATAATTTTTTTAATGAAGTAAATTAAATAAAAATCCCGTCACTGGCGTGATTCGAACCCGGGACCCTTGGATCCGAAAGTCCAGACTCTAATCACTGAGCCCACCCAACCCTTCAAAAAAAATCGTCCTTTTATACTCATTTTTGTTAATTCGAAATAATCTTATTTTTTATTATAATAAAAACTAGCTGACCCGATCCCGCTTTGCTGGAATTTCTCAAATCTCAATTATTAAAAGTAAATAACAGTTTTCGTTACTGGAGAGAAATTTTTTCATCCGATATCTGTCAATTTTTTTAGTAATTATTATTCATTTTTATTAGTTTTTTATATTTTTTAATTTTATATTATTTTTGTTAATTTTTATTATATTTTATTAGTTTTTATTAATCTTTTTAATTTCTATTTATTTTAATTTGTTTTTAATTCTTTTTTATTTATTTTTATTTATTATTATTTATTATTATTTATTTTTATTTTTTTATACATTTTTATACATTTTTGTATATTTTTATATATTTTAATATATTTTTATATATTTTTATTAATTTTTATTCTTTTTTTGTCATTTTTATTTTTTATTTATTATTTAGTTTTACGAATCCAAAAACCTTGAAATACGTCACTATTTACTAATGATGAGTATTAGATAAAAAACCGATTTAATATTGAAAAAACACTTTTCTCGGGAAACGGTGAAAAAGTAAATTCATAAAACACAAGAGAGATAAAATATCTAACTTTTCCCGTCACAGAAAAAAAATCTTCGCCCTTTTGAAATAACTTTTATCAGATATGAACTAGTTTGTTGTAGGGTGTTGTTTTTGAGGAGGAAAGAAATGAAGAAGTTTTGATATGCCAGACTAGAATTTCAATTATGATTTCTATAGCATTATTTTTTTGGTATATCGAAGAAAATCTGTCTATCAAATTTAAAATTTTGATGCCGAGTGGCAAAATAAAAATATATACAAATTCCATAAAAAAACGCTACTTAAACAAAGTTTAAGAATTAATAAGCATTTGTCTATAAATCTAAAATATATTTACTGCGACTGACAGTTTTGATTCTTTTGGTTTTAGAACTGTAGATACCTACTTTTTATTTTGGAAACTTTAATAAAAATATGCATTATTTTACAATTTTAAATTAAAATCTTATATTCTAATTTGAAAAATCTACTTAATGACTAAGTAAATATGATTTTATTTGCATATGAAAATTACAAAATAAAAATACAAATTGTTTAAAAATTATTAGTTAAAAGACGGAATTCAGCTTTCAAATTTGCTTAAACAAAATATACTCAACCGCAAAATTAACCGGACATGTGATTTTCGTCCCGCAAATGTTTTTCCTCGTTTTTATTTTTTAAACAAAGATGTTTTTTGATGGTATGAAATCAAATTTTAATTTATTTTGTAAAAAATGTTTATAGTTAAACATTATTATTTGAAATTATTTTGATTTAAATTTTTGTTATCGATATTTTTCTGAAAAACCTCGTGTCTGGTTAATTTTGCGGTAGAGTATATAAAAACTGTTCTTCAACCCAACCTCAATAAGTTAATGAAAAAAACTAATACATACAATTAAAATACATATAATTAACTACTGGGTTCGAAAGAAAATATTGTTTATGTTTGTATAGTAATTATGCTATCATATTACCTAATATTTCGAAGTGTGCCATTTAAAAAGTCTTCTACTTATTATGTCTTATACTATTTATGTTGAGTCAGGTTGAGGTGATTCTTAATGCATTGCGATGGATTTTATTAGTTCTGAAAATTTCAAACAAGAATACCTACTTAGATTTAAATTTTAAATTATGTATAAATTTGTGTACTTTTTCACTTGAAAATATTTTTAAAGAGCTTAAGAGCCAATAACCAGGGCGCACCCACCAAAAAAATTTAATCAAATATTTTGAAGTATCTATGAATTTAGCTGATTTCTTAAGTTACATATAACTTATAAAAAATACGACATTTATGTACCAAATAAAATCTAAAGTCTACGAGCAATGTCCAAACATTAGTAAAATTGGTATTATCCGAACGTCTATCTTGCATGTATGTTTTTAATTATTTATTTTTCGTACATTCGAAAAATATTCTGAAACTAGCTTTTGCCCGCTGCTATGCACGCGTGGTGTCGTGTTTATAATTTAAAAAAATGAATGATTATTAATTTTTAATATTTTTATTAATTTTTATTAATTTTTAATACCTTTTAATAA